AAGCTTCAGGAATCATTCCTGAAATTGATCCCAACAAATATGGCCAGAATCTCATGCTTGTTACCACTACAGCATAATTAAAGATGGTATACGGAAACGGTGAAATCCGAAACAGTGTAACCACTTGAAATTGGTGAAATGAACTCCCCTCTCCCGCCAATCTGATAACATCAGCTTGTTGTGGCCATTTTTTCAGCCATTTCTGCAGAATAGAAAAAATTTGGAATAATACTAATGAAAATAATTGTAGTAATAATTGTTATAGTCATAATAAGGTGTAAGTATATGCTCAAGCATCAATCAACGTAAGCTTACATGGATCCGGTCTCGGAAAAGCAAACCAATCAAGTAAGGAAGGAGCATTCCGATGGTTGTTCCAAACATGATTAAGACAAAGCCAAGGCCATATCCAAAGATCATTCCAGCTAGCCACATTGAAGGTCCAGAAGGGACCAGAATCACTGGAAATAATGCCAATGAAGCAACAAGGATGAGTGCTAACACTGGACGGCCAAATGCAGTGGCTTCCCATTGTAAGATGGGAATCAGCACCTACAAAAACAGGCAGAGGTCAAAGGTTCAATTGACTTGAATATGATAAGTTAAGAAGAAGATTTCAAGATAGGAAGTCAATAAGAGAAATAAAGAAGTTCATTTTGTGCTGACAAGAAATTCACATTTCTCATCATGCTACCTTCCAAACAACATGACTTTTACTACAAACAGTCTCATTGCCCTTATATTAATTTAAGAACTTTCTTTAAACATTACTAATTGCATACCCGGACAAAAACGTTACTAACCCTGTTACAGAAAGTCACTGGCTAGCTACGTGGTGGTAGTTGGTCATTGCCAGTTGGTAACTGTATTGGTGATATTTTTGTCCTAAGCTAAAAATTAACATTTCAGTCAAGTTGGCAGTAACTTGGTAATATTTAAGGAATTTGTTCTTAATTTATACGATGAAATTAAAGCAGTTTCAAAATGTAAGCTTAGGTAGCTAAACATTGGCACAGGAATGAGTTAAATGACACACCTTCTCAAAGAGAAAAGGAACTCCCCACTTTACGAAGATCAAGAGAATCAGTATACATATAATGCACCACATAAATGCCTTGGTCCACCATTTCAGAGCTCTTTTTCTGGTTTCAAGAGGTGATTGGAAAACATATGATTCACTAACTGTTGCTTCGTCGTTTACAAATAGCCTAACATATTCACTGTCTTCTTTGACTGGGATCCCACTATCGAAATGTTTTTTCTCAAAAGCCTCAACTGGTTCTGGCATGTTGTATATGTATCCTGCAAACAGAAGTGCACAAGTGGAAACTCATTAATTTCATGTTCATGCAAGGAAAGAGAGAAACAGCACACATGTTTCATGATTTCCATCCAAATCTCAGTTATTGGCTGTAGTGTGAAAAATATAAATTGTAGAGACAATTTCGGAACATTCAATACATAATCAAGTTATGTAGCTAATTTGGAGCCTTCAAATAGTAATACTGGGGTTCAGAGGAGTTACGAACACAAAATGGAACATCGCAGCCTCCTCCACACTCTACCCTGTGCAAGTTCTAAAATTGCTTTTCAAAATTATTGAAGCTCATTTCCAATTTCAAATATAGTACGTAATTAAAGATAAAAGATCTGTAAATCAATCGCTAAAACCTACACCTCCGCCGCAATTGGACTGGAAAAGAACACAGAAGCTCTAATCCCAGAGATAAAAATGAAATAATCCTGTTTTCCTTAACTTCCAGCTCACAAAAGCTCCCAGTCAAACAAAAAGAAAAAGGGAAGGAAAAAACAAGCAAAGCCAAGTGGACAAGACAGAAGGAGATCGGACCAGAAACGTGCATAGAAAAGCAGATAGAGATGAACAAATTATTACCGGAAGGTATCGATCGAAGGGGCGATGCGCAGCAGCGAGAAGCTGTTTTGGAGTTTGTTTATGAGGTTTCTAAGTTCTCGGCAGGAAGTAGGAATGAACTGTTGTTAGTTGGGACTTGGGAGAACGGAAACGAAGCTGCTTTCAGGTTACAGTTTTCATTTTCTTTTAACATTTTTTTGGGTAGTAAAAGTCTTCAACAAAAACTAAGAAAGTCGTGTTTTTCTAAACACGACTAGTTGCATTTCGTAGTTAAGCGGCCATTCCGGACTCCAACCCACCCTATAATCGGCATCAAATTATTTTATAGATGAAGAATAAATTTTGTAAAAATAATGGTTTCCTGTCTAATATTATAATATTCTTTCCTAATCAAGACATTCACATCCATCAGATTATTTAGGAATCACCTTGATGTGAAAGATCTTTTTGAAGATTATGGCTGAGAAGATGAAATTATTCTGAAAGACATTTAGATAAAAAATCTTGTATCAAGTATTGAATCCTAGATTATTCAATATTATTCTCAAGTTTTAATAAACACATTTAATGCAATCATCTCTTTTAATTTGGAATGACTAAAATACCTCTTTGCAAATAACATAAACTCCATTAAAAAACTAAATGAATAGAAATCATGATTGAGAAAGAATTAGTAAGATTTGATTTTATTTATGTGTCAATATCATGGCAAGAGAAAAATATGAAAAACTGAATATTCAAGTATTATGAATGGAAATGCTCTTACATTATTGCCTTTTTCTTTTTATAACTCTACTTTCAAATCAATTATAGTACTCACTCTATTTAAAAAATGCTAACATTTTCGAATTGAAATGAGTGTTGACCTTGCGTCTTCCTTCTTAAGAGTTAAAACTTCCCTTCCTCCTTAAGAGTCAAAACTAACTATAATGTCATCGAATTATAAAATGCTTATTATTGCATTTTGCTTTAATTTTTTTTTTTGGTTTTTTGGTAATATTCACGTTTATGTTATTGTTTCATTTGCCCTATACATGCCATTAAATAAATTTCCTTATATCACTTGCATATCAAAATCTAAGAGTCTATTCGGTAACATCATTTTTTGGCTTATCAGCTAACTTTTTCATCAAACACGTAACTTTTGATTTCGCTCGCTGAATTATGTAATAATAAAAAAAAAGTAAGATTGACATTACTTTTATGGTTGTATTGGCTGAAGCTACTGCAGATGATCATTTTAGTTATTTTTTCATATAAATTTTCTTAATTTTATTAATAAAAAATCTTGTAAATATAATTTTTTCATAAATCAGCATAATCAGTCAATGCAGTCACTTTAGTCGGAGTTTTATAAATTTCAGCATAATCAATCAATTCAGCCGATTTCAATATTACTAAACGGGTTTTAATATGTTTGATTTTAGTTTGGGCAAATCAAAATAAATACTTTGTACTGCATACTTCGTATTATTAGGTAGCTTCAAGCCTTCAATACATTAAAGATCCGTCTTGAAACCTTGAATGAAAGATGTAATATTACATCACTTAATATGTCACGGGTAAGAGAAACAAAGATGGATGGGAAAAGAGAATATAACTTTATGCTTCTGCATGTATGATTGTGTAGTTTTTGACCAGTCGCACCATAAAGGCAGCATATATATTCGATGCGATCACATTAAACGTAAAAAAGTGTATACATCTTATCAGATATGTCATGTTTCACTTTCATAGACTAAAAAATGGTTATCATTTTGTCAAAACACATCATATATGCAATCCCATACACTACACTTCCAGGAAAATAAAATACTCGAGCAAAAATAGAAGATACGTAGTACGAAGTATATCTCATCCACGATCCACCATGACATTAGATTCACTATGTTGCTCATATTTTAATGTCATGCACCGTTTTGTGTAATTACAAATGAAATGAGTGTCAATGAAGATTAGAATTATGATCTAATACAAGTTAATGAGTGTAGAATGCACACTTGTATATAAGAACAAGTTTAATACCAAAGTGTCTATGACAGTGGAATTCCATAGAGGTAAAACTCGAGGTAGAAATAGGTAGACCAACTTTGTGCTTCTAGACCAAGGTCTAGAATGGTTGAGGTAGTTTCCTGCAGTTTCCCAGGAACTGCTACGTTTATTCCCGGCCCAAATGGGTTGTAACTTTTTGGAACGGTTTAAATGAGTATATATCTTTATATTTCGTGCAGAGAAAATAGAAACAAGATATACAAAATATCTTCATCACTTTTTGGCATTCAAATTAAAGAATATAATCCATAAGTCACTAGTTTGTGCTCTATATCTTGTGTCTAAGTTCTTGAGTGTCCGTAAGGATTATCCTAGATTCAATTTTTTATATCCAAGCATAGGGGATTAATATCAATTCAAAAAGTTAACTTACAAAATAATCTTTGTTGAAAAAGTTGAGTTTTTTTCCTAATTAATGTTAATTAATTAATTAATTACGGAAATAATGCTGGAAAAAAAGTATTTACCAATATACTGCTGGCCCTTAACCACGGTCAGGGGTAAGTCGCCCAACGGTTGGGCGACTTATAAGTCGCCAAACCGTTTGGCGACTTATAAGTCGCCCAACGGTTGGGCGACTTACCCCTGAAATAAGGTTGAAGGCGAGCAGCTACTGCCAGCCAGGCACGTTCGTGCCCAGCCTGGGACGCACGATCGTGCCTAGGTCCGAAAACAGGATTTCGGCAGATTTTTCGTCCCAATTCAACCCGGACTCATCTGTTTGCTATAAATAAGGTCTCTCTTCTCCTGTTTAAGTGTTACGAGCCAGATACAACACATTATAAAACACATTATAAAACATACAACACACGTATTCTCAATCACATACATAACACCTCCTCTCATCAACATAAAAAACACCTTGAAAATACCCTTTACAAATCAAATACAAAATCTTACATTCATAACCGGTATAACAAAGTACAATTATCCAATATTCATAACAAGTAATCATCTAATATTCAGACTCGAACACATCAAGACAACATACAAGACTTTACAAGAGAAAATACGTCAAATGTTGTAAATTGTTCCTACAACATCTACTGCATAAGAAAAACTATAATACAAAAGACAGACTACAAGTTCCCATCGTCAGCTTCGTCATGGAGATGTTGCTGCTCATGTCTACGCCTACGCCGTTGTCGTGGTTGAAGAACCACTCTCTCATGCTGCGTCTGGGATGATGAAGCTGCCGCTGCACTAGACGTGGATGGCATCTCCCGAGATGGGGGCATGTGTATAAGATGGCCGTAGTCGACTCGCCCCAACACATCTGAACACAAGGACGCAATGCCTATGAGAGCCTGTCCATACAAGTCCACATCAGGACTATCAGTCACTGTGACAGTAGCCCGCTGATGTATGCGCTGCAAAGCTCGTGTCTGAAATATGAAACACAATTACATTTACATTGAAATATATACAAATATTACATAAATAAAATGAATTACTTTAGTAATTAGTAATATACTCACCGTAAGATGCAAAGCTAAGGAACTAGGCTGATAATGATGAGTAGGGAGTCTGAACGAAGGAGACACAAACAAACGAGTGATGCTGTAATACCATCCCATGTAGTCTCCTGAAACAGATGGCACATATGTCGGTGTCCCGGCCACAACTAGCTCAGCTCTCCTTTCCCACATAGTCACATATCGGACATGTCTGAGTGCCCAATCCTTTGTATGCTTCCCACGCCTATCCAGCCTATGTAGCTCAGCATAAGTGTCGATAGGCCGTGGAACCACCTGCTCAAACCCAAACTGTCGCAAGACTCTATCAGGCAAATGAAGCTCAACAATGTCAAAACATATCAACGGCACACGTGCTCGCCATATGTGAGTATGCTCTCGTCCAGCTGGGGGCAACTCTGCTAACATCTCAGGTGTAAACGGCATCCATGTAATCTGTTTCATAAAGATATAAAATTAGGAGATTTTCTTTACATTTTATAGTTAATGTTATACTACCCACACCATACCTGGTCCTCAGACATCCGATCAAATGCATCCCTGTACACACCGAGCCCAGTAGCGGATGACATGCGAGATAGACCAGCATATAGCCATCTAACCATTCATGTAACAGTATCATTAATATGGATATTATTAATGTATTTACACAGAACATACACTGACATTAATACAAACGATTGAAAACATACCGACGGCCTAGAGGGTCCTCGCCCCGTACATGATGAGGTCCTAGAAGACGTGGAGGCTCATCAGGCAGTGGCTGTCCATCAATGCCATGATATCCGACTATAATGGGACGGCCAATGTGGATATACTCCCATGACCAAATCTGGAGGAGTAGCAAAAAACCCCCAAGCTCTGTGCTCCCTCTCTGGCAGCCGCGACAAAGCTGTCTGTACAGGTAAGCCAGGGTGGCACTACACCAGCTGAACTGTGCTGCTACATCAAACCTCTCTAGCAAAGGCAAGTGCAGCACCTGAACCTCATTTCCGCTCTTGTCAGCGAAAATGGAGGCTCCCATCATCATCAATATATAAGCCCGAGCATGCTGCTGGATCATCACCTCATCAGCGTCGGGAGGGAGCACTTGGAAGTGCTCCCTCAACCATGGCATCCTCAGAGATGACCCCTGAAGGTCAGTCCTAAGAACGGGGCGGATACCTAAAACCGCTCACACTCATCCACCCACTGGCGATAAGCTGTGCCTGTAACAGCTCTCCCATGAACCTCTAACCCGGTAAGTACAGCAACATCTCCCAATATCACTGTCACCTCACCAACTGGGAGGTGAAATGAGTGTGTCTCCTGCCTCCAACGCTCAAGTAGAGCAGTGAGAAGCGCTCTATCTGGAGGCACAGTAGCCACTAATCTGTGAAGAGTATAAAAACCTGCAACACCAACATACGCTAGTACCCTGTCGTCGACGTGCAAATGCGACAAACCCCGCAGGTGCTCGCGGCACCTATCCACCTGAACATCCATGCCAAGCCAAACATCCTCACTCCTGTGCGAGGCCTGCAATGTCAGGACAGAACAATCACTCGGCCCAGGATCCGTTGTCACCTCCATGCCTACACACAAACAAAATTTGTATTAGTTCTTATTCAATAATATATTAATTTTTTTTTAACATCCTTTTTTGAAATGATTATTTTTTCTTTCAACGAGTGTTTATCGGACTCTATCACCCGAAAAAATTGGTTCCGTTTGATAGAATACAAGCTCACCATATTGATGACTTGTTCTTTGTTGTCAAACTGTTGACCGACCTCAAACTCACCATCGGGGGTAAACCTTTTCTCACCTGATCCACTCATCCACGCATCAGTAAAGCCTTCAGGGAGATCATACATTCTAGTAAAGTGGCTAGACGGGGCAGTTTTCGTGACAGTATCACCATCATCTTCATCAGATTCTGTCATGTCATCACCATTGATGTTCTCGTCAGCATCATCATCACTTCCCTGCCCATCAACAAATGATGCACCGTTGTGCAAATACCTACCATCTTCCTGTATAACCATGTCCAGTACAGGAGCCTTTGAGGAGTTCCCTGCATTCCCCCTGCATTGAGATCATGCGTAGATACGACAGCATTTGATGTTGATTGAGTACCATAAGCGTCACATGATTCCTCAATGTATATCTCAAGCGTCGACATATCCTCCATCTGAGTTATGCCCCACATATTTGTTATAGCTAGCTCATCAATGAGGGGCATAAGCATGAACTTTCCCCCGTTCATGGGAAATTTCATTTTCAACCGCAAAGAACGGCTAGGATGAATCATTGTGGCTGCATGTATTTTTTGAAGGATCTCCAGCATGCATGCGCCACGAGAAACCATGACAAAGCTGGTTCTACCACCTTCATGGCATATTTTCCCAGCATCCTCATAATAGTTCCCTCCCCAATGACATATGATTGGGAAGCTTGAGAAATCCATATTCTAATAACAATTCGTTGTCCAACATTCATGAGTAGGCATCAATATACACACTTTATACACATTCAAATTTTCAATAGAAATAACTACCAAAATTGAAACATATCCAAAAGTCAAAATTCACAAACAATTCACATTTCAATATGAAACTACCAAAATTTTGATATCTACATTCACATCTACCTTTCAATACCCAAATTTAGCAACATTCAAGTCTACCAAAATGCCCAAATGTCAAAATACACATTAAAATTTACAATCAATTTAAAATCAAATTTTAACATTTCATACATATCCACATTTCACAACAACTTAATTCACAATCAATTCATAATCCAAAAAATCGAAAATTTTAAGATTCAAAACCCTAAGTTAAAAATGAGATGAAATGGAGTTTGATTTACCTACAACAAAGAAGAAGAAAGAGTGTTGCAAAAGAAGATGAAGGTTTGCCGGAGTGTGGAGGCCGGAGATGGAGCTTCGCCGGAGTTGGAAATGAGCTCGGTGGTCTTCGTCGGTCGTGTTCGTCGTTCGCTGGGCGTTGGGGGGATTTGGGGATAGTTTACGCAGTGTTCTGTTTTTGGGGCGAGACCCGATTTTTACTTAAGGGTAAGTCGCCCAACCGTTGGGCGACTTATAAGTCGCCAAACGGTTTGACGACTTATAAGTCGCCCAACGGTTGGGCGACTTACCCCGACCATGGTTAATCCAGCAGTATTTTGGTAAATACTTTTAACCAGACCCTATTTTCATAATTAATTAATTAATTAACATTAATACGGAAAAAAGGACGAAAAAGTTTATGATAATAATCCCTTATTTTTTGTCTCGGCATGTAGGTCATCCAATAAGGCAAAATCGATTTAAAAGGATAGCTGGAGTAAAGAAAAACACTTTGAAACTCCGAATCACAAATGAAGTATAACAGCAAAACTCAGCACCCATCAAAAAAATCATGTTGGGTGAATTCGGAAAAACAACGAAATTAATTAAAATAACCAAGAAAATAGAAAACGAGAAGGACTGGAAAGCCAAAAATTGTGCAACACACAATTTCCTTAAAACGTATTCGTTGCCACCCACGGTGTTAGAAGCGTTGCAACGACCGTTTCCCATAATACGGTGGCTTATGAATAACCCTTTGAGCACACAATCAGTTGTTCCGACGAACGGAAACAAAGTATGAACACTAGAGAAAATTTCAGAAAGCTAGAGGTGGTTTTAGCTCAAAACGTTCGCGCTAACTGTGTTGTGTCGTGTATTACTGCAAAGAACCTAACAGCTATGTATAAAGATAGGTTTGTTTAGTGTTAAATGAGTTTAAATGAACTTGAACATTAGACATAAATGACCAGAACGTTGGGCATCAATATGTCGAAATTTGTCCATTTAAAGACGCACTAAAAGATAAAAATGTTGGGCAATTGCAGCAATAAAGGTTGCAACGGTTCAGAACCGTTCTGGTGCGCGACCAGAACATAACCGTTTTTGGCGTATCTTTGAAAGATATATTTTTTGATGACATCCGTGTCCGCAGGTTGCCTGCACACACAAAGAGAGTCTTTCCACCTAGGAATCGTAACTCCTTCAAAGAGGGTCCCCTTTATAAGGAGGTGAAAATCCTTTGGATTTTTTGTTGTGGGATAAATCATACTAGAAACTCATCATTTTTCTAGTTTTTTCATTTCAATGAGTGAAATTCAAGCATCAATTTCTCATTCACCCGTTTTCCGTTTTGAGTGTACCACATATCGAATTGTAGCCCTTAACAAGGGGAATCTGAAACCACTTTGACCTGATCCAAATTGGAAGTAGACCCCACTCAAATTACTACCCTAAATTGACCATCTCATGCAATTTTAACACATTTTTCCAATAATCCTCCACAAGAATGAAAATTGATTTTTGAGACTTAAAAAGACAAGAAGATAGAAGGACACATTGTGTTCATTGGATGATCCCTGCATACGGAGAGGTAGGTTTTATCCTTTGAACCTTCTACTGTAAAGACATGTTTATTTATTGGTTGTCTAGTAGACTCAATGTCCTTGAACTATACTGTTGTCGTGTAAACATCGACTTATCTTTACACATCAACCTTCCAACTTTGTTCTGTTCTCATGGGTGTGCCCGTTTTGGCCACATGCCATTCTCCTTTGAAGCTCTTCTATCTCACATAGGTGATTCTTTCACGAGTATCCCACATACTCTTCCAATGTTATCACACAGATCAAAACATTTCAGAATCATTAAAGCAAGCATTTTTGCTAACCTCGTGCGGGAGTCACTGTTCCAACGAGGAATGGGTAGGAATCCGAAACCCCCACAATGACCATCCATCGCTCTATAATTTAGTTTCCCCTTTTGAACCTAGGACCAACTAGGTTGGGTGTCGACTATATAACTTTTCATTTCATGGGCTTTGGTCTCATTCCTATCTACATTTCTCCAACAATTCTCTATCTACATCTTTGGTTAGCGGATCCGTTATGTTATCCTTTGATTTCACGTAATAAACCGTGATAACACCCGTTGTGAGGAGTTGTTTAATGGTGTTATGACTATGATGAGCGTATCTAGACTTATCATTATAGATGTTGCTTTGTACTATTCCAATTGCCGCTTGCCAATTACAATGTATGCGTATTGGAGGGATAAACTTTTCCCAACTTGGAATATCCTCAAGAAAATATCGTAGTCATTTTGCCTCTTCAGTGCGCTTA